ATCAAGGAGCAGAGCCTGCAGCATACTATTATCTTATACACCTGCATGACGTTTTGTTTTTTTTTATCATTTGCCTTGAGGTCAGTTTTAAAGGGTTTTAAAGGGTTTGTCTGCTGCATGCGGTGATGTGGTCTGCTTGTAGGTGGGACCAGGTGATTGGTACTGTAGTTGGAGTAAAGGTTCTGAATCTGGTGCAGCTTTGCATAGTAACCAATCAGCTTGTAGCTTTTATTGTCAGAGCTAAACTGAACAAGCTGAAGTTAGAAGATTATTGGTTACTGTGCACAGCTGCAACAGATTCTGTGTGCACCAGTTTTAGTAAATCTCCTCCACAGAGATGAATGGGAATGAAAGCAGATCCTCCTTATCATTTCAGATCATGTGATATGTCACATGATAAGGGGAGATAGTAAGAGGGGAAAACTGCCATCACACCCTAGTGGGGTCAGCCTTATACAGAGGTGTGTTCTAAGCTGCCTGAACTCTTCCACCCACAGTAGACTACTATCGGTGGGAGGAAAGTGTATAATGCTCCCTCCAACAAATATTGAGGCCCCTGCTCCTTCTGACAGGAGTGACACTGTACTCACTCCTGTCAGTGAGGTGCAGGAGTATAACGCTCCCAGTGCACCCCCCCCCCCCCCCCCCACACACACACACAGTAACACTGCCTCAGAGCATTTGTCCCTTCTGCCCCCTCCATCACTTATCCCTGCCCTGTCCGCCTTCAACAGCTACTGTTGGATTTACCCACAAGAGACTGCCTGTGACTAAAGAAACCTCTTTCAACCCCTCTTATCCTTCTGCTTTACAAAACAGGTCCACGTTTACTGATGTCAAAGCAAGAGAACTTCAACTGGTCGCTACACATTTTTCTTTGTCTTATAAGATACCTATTAATTAGATTTCTTTTGGACAGAAGCAAAGAAAATTTTCTACAGGTATCCCTAACAAATCATGAGCTTGTATCAATGTATTTATAATAAAAAGGCATTATGAAACAATCCCAGTTAAGTAGACTGAAGTGATGCTCATAACCACAGCAGGTGTTGTCTTGGGAGCTATTATTATGAATAATTAGAATGAAGATTAACAATAAGAATTTTTTAATTATATTGTTAAAAAACGTTTAAGCTTTTTCCTTTTCCCTGATTCCCACACTAAATCCCTTAGTGTGGATGAATTGAATTATATGCGTTGAAGCCACCATAATATCTAGCCAGATCAGTCATGCAATGTACAGAGGCCAGGTAAATTAAATGAAAGAGAGTGGAAGAAGATAAAAACAGACAATAGATGAAAGGGTGCTAGGGGGGAGGATGAAAACAACCAGTAGACAATCAGATCATTAAAATTTTTTCTGACCTTTACAAATGGCTATTCCACTGAGATTAAACGAAAAAGAAGAAGGGATGCAATATCAACTGGGCACCCAAGAGCATTTTAGGCAAAGGCTGTGGCGTTGTTTTCCTGTGTTTGACTTGCATTTGTAATGCATATCAAACTCAGGTCATCAAAAACCCCAGCCAGGTCATCAAAACACTTTATATGAGCAGTACACATTGCATTTCAGGGTCTACACGTTACCTGCTTTGTATTACACTGCATGTCTTTGGATGCATCAGGTCCAATTGAGGTGTATTTGAACTGCAAGCAAAGTAGGTCAAACACAGCATTTTCTTGTCAAATGCTATGCCTATCATTCAGAAGCATGCATTTCCATTCCAATAGAAAACACATTTGAAAAAAATTCCGGTCATCATGAGCACTCATATTCTTAAGCAGTCTGCGGGTCTTTGTACATTTGACTGCATTTTGGCAAGGCTGTCAGAAATAATCAAATGTCACCATTCTGCCCAAATCAAAATTTAAAACGTGCAGAGTAATGCTGCTGTGCATGGTTTTACTAATAGTAATCTGTAATGTTGAAGATATTTTGTTGTTTTTCCAAGCCACTTCTTCTAATGAATGTCAGAAACGTAACATAGTATTTATACCCACAAACAATGGGGGCCTTCAGCACCATTGGTCTTCCACATATAAAACTGTTTTACTATCTCTACCCTGGCAATTTGATAACAATTCACACCTCTAACTATATGATTCAACAGATTAACACCTATGCCTTAGGGACACCAAAAGGGTGGCTCCACCACTTTCAGACTTCCCATCCTGGTTGTGGAGAATTAACATCTGCTTTGTCATATTCCAAAGTAATAATTGCTCTTGCTGTGTGTCATGCTATTTGGACTTTTTAATTTTTTTCAATAAATTTATCAATCCTAGCAACAACAGTAATCGGTCATCCACCTGTTAATTGTCCAAGGTCATTTTGCTACTTGGGTGAATATTAATGCTAGGGTATGTTCCTGGCAAACTGAATAAGTCGCTTGGATAAGCTTCAAAATATCATTACAGTGCCTTGAAAAATATTCATACCCCTTGAAATTCTCCACATTTTGTCATGTTACAAACAAAAACATAAATGTATTTTATTGGGATTATATGTGATAGACCAACACAAAGTGACACATAATTGTGAAGTGGAAGGAAAATGATAAATGGTTTTCACATTTTTTTACAAATAAATATCTGAAAAGTGTGGAGTGCATTTGTATTTGTATTCAGCCCCCTTGAGTCAATATTCTGGCTGCAATTACAGCTGCAAGTCTTTTTGGGGATGTCTCTACCAGCTTTCCACATCTAGAGAGTAACATTTTTGCCCATTCTTCTTTGCAAAATAGCTCAGGCTCTGTCAAATTGGATGGAGAGCATCTGTGAACATCAATATTCAAGTCTTGCCACAGATTCTCAATTGGATTTAGGTCTGGACTTCGACTGGGACACAGCGCAACACCGATCGCCACGCTGCGCACCCCCTGGAGCTGCTCATGCGCGGTTTAGAATGGGAGGATGTCGTATGACTTCCTCCCAGAACAAGAGAACCACCTTGCGCCCGTCATTACCTTATATGGCGGGCGGGAGGCGGTTAAGTAACTACATACCAGCTAAAAAATATTTTATGCAATAAACAGCATAATGAAGTAAGAAATTATACAAAGGAGTGGCTATGGATATAGTATACTTGGATTCTGCAAAAGCATTTGATACAGTTGCCCACACACATGGTTAATGTGTAAGTTATAGTGTACAGGCTTAGAAAAATCAGTTTGTAAATGTATTTAAAAAATTGGCTAAAAGACAATATTGAGAAAGTAGTGATTAATGACTCATACTCAAAATGGTCTAAGGCTCTTAGTGGTGTACACCCAAGTTCAGTGTTGGGACCCTTACTTTTCATATATGTATAAATAATAAAGAATTTGGGATTAAAAGTATCATTTCAATCTTTGCAGATGACCCCAAACTGTGCAGTGGAATAACATCCTTGCAGGATGTTTACAATTTACAAGCTGACGCACTGTTTAATTGGGCAACTATGTGGCAAATAAAGTTTAACCACTTCTTGACCACGCTATAGCTGGAAGACAGCTATAACACGTTTGTCCAGTTTTAGGAGGGTGTCATATGATGTCCTCCCAGCACTCACCCCTGCACGCCCCCAGCAGTGCGCACCCAGCACTCTTTGTGATCGCTGTGCCCTTTCGACACAGCTGATCACATGACATGGTAAAAGGCCAAGCACAGTGACCTTTTACCACGTGATCAGCTGTGTCCAAAATACACTTGACAGTTATCGGCAGTACTTTCCTCACTGTCACAGTGTGAAGAAAGTACTACTGATAACCAGCAACTGTCAAGGGAGACATCTACACTGATAATCAGGGCACTGATAATCAGGGCACTGATTATCAATGCCCTGATTATCAGTGTAGCCCCAAAAGTGCCCATCAGTTACCTAACAGTGCTGCCCATCAGTGCCCAGCAGAGCTGCCCATCAGTGCCCAACATTGCCATCCATCAGTGCTGCCAATCTGTGCCTACCATTGCTGCCAATCTGTGCCCATCAGTGCCTTCAGTCAGTGATGCCAGTCAGTGCCCTTCAATGCTGTCTATCAGTGCCACATATCAGTGCAGCCTCATCAGTGCTTTCTCATCAATGCATACCAGTGCTGCCTCATCAGTGCTGCCTCATCAGTACAGCCTATCAGTGCCCATCAATGCTGCCTATCAGTGAAACCTCATCAACGCACATCAGTAAAGGAGAAAAATTCCCTGTTTGCAAAATTTGGTAATAGACTTACGTAAACTTTGTTCGGTCTTTGTTTAATTTATAGTGTAAAAAAATCCAGTGGTGACTAAATACCATCAACAAAAAGCTCTATTTGTGTGGAAAAAATGATAAAAAGTTCATACAGGTACAGTGCTGCATGACTGCACAATTGTCATTCAAAGTGCAACAGCACTGAAAGCTGAAACTTGGCCTGGGCAGGAAGGGGGTAAAAGTGCCCAGTAGGCAAGTGGTTAATATTGTTCATGAAAAATGATGCACTTGGGGGCTAAAAAAACAATCATGCATTTGCAAAGTAGGAGTATAAGTGGGGGAATCAACGGTGAAGAAGGCCCTGGATGTTCTGCTAGATCATAGACTTAATAGCATGAAATGCTAAGCTGCAGTTTCTAAAGCTAGCAAAATAATTTCTTGTATTACAAGGGGTATAGTCTGCAGAGCGAGAGACATAATTTTGCCCTTATGCAAATCAATAGTAAGACTCCATCTAGAATATGCAGTTCAGTTTTGGACACCAGTTCACATAAAGGATGTTGGGAAACTGGATAAAGTGCAAAGAAGGGCAACCAAACGGATAAGAGACATTGAGTAGCTTGGCTATGAGGGAAGATTAGCTGAAGTGAATTTATTCTCTCTTGAGAAGAGGCAATAAGGGGATATGATCACCAAGTGTAAATACATAAATTGTTCATATTGTGAACTTGGTGTTGAGTTATTCACATTCAAGTCAATACAGAGAACAAGGGGGCACCCTTTAGGTCTGGAGGAAAAGGAAATTTAATGTTCACAAATGGAAAGGCTTCTTCACCAGGGGCGGACTGACCATTTGGAAACTTGGGCACTGCCCGAGGGCCCAGGGTCAGTAGGGGGCCCCATGAGATACCCCTGGTACCTTTTTTCATAGGCTTTTTTGAGTTTGGGCAAGGACACAGGGGCCCCATGATCCCCTATTGCCGGGGGCCCTTATGAGTTGTCAGTCCGCCCCTGTTCTTCACAGTAAGAGCTGTGAAAATGTGGAATAGTCTCCCTCAAGTGCTGGTTCTGGCCAACTTAGTAGATTCTTTTTAAAAAGGCCTGGATTCTTTCCTAAATGCACAAAATATCACTGGATACTATGTATATTAAGTAAGTAAACGTAAATAATAGTGTTAGCACCAGGAGTAGTTGATCCAGGGAATATCTGATTACCTCCTGGGGAATCAGAACTGATTTTTTTTTTTTTTCCGTTTTCCGTTTTCCCGCTGGAGGAAATTGGTTCATACTTTATTGGGTTTTTTTCCTTCATACACAATCCTATACCCACAGTTGATTCAGGAGGGAGGTGTTCTATTTGTGTGTGTTTTTTGTTCTATTGGTTAAACTAGATGGGCTTGTGTCTTTTCTCAACCAGACTAATGATGATTCAATAGATTCCTGCTGTTAGGATTTGCAGCGTGGCAAAATGGCAGTGCCAATGGTGCTTTACACTCTGTCAAAAGTTTTTTTGTTGGCTCTAAGGAAGAGGTTGTGTCCTCGAAACGCGTTAGACAGTTGGTCATCCAGGGTTCCATCGTATGGACTCAGATGTTGTTTGGATCATACACCTTTTTCAGTTTGACATGCCTGTGTTATTATGTCCATTGTGAGTATGCTACCTATTTTTGTTTCTTTAATAAATTATTTTAAACGATAATGCACTAGGTCGGTGCGCCCTTTTTCTGTTTCTCCATTTTTATCCAGTGTATTCGGACCACCCCGGTCTGTTGAGGGCAGCAAGCAGCGCATATTCCAGATAATTCCAGAACATTCCTATTGGGTCTACTGAGTCCTTTCCTAGCGCAGGAGTAAAGTGTTTGTTGTGTTAAACATTTTTTTGGTCAGCAATTGCAGTAGTAGCTGTATATTTTACACAGCAAATCCTGGCTGTGTTTTTGACAACTGGGAATTGTCAGTTAATGTAAAGGGGGAGCCGCATTGGGGCAGAAGGACAGGGCTTGTTTAGAAATATGTAGTTTTCACCATTTGTTTGTATCCGTATAAGCAATACATTTTGTAATAATCATATATTAGTGGTGCAAATTATTTTTTGGTAAAATATATATGGTTGTGCACTGCTTGCTAGCACATGGGAGTGGTGCATGTTCTCACATACAACCCTTGTATATTTATGAAATAAAAGCAGGCAAAGGAAGTGCATAAGTAGCCAGATCCAGCTATAAGTTTCAAGCTGAAGGATTTAAAACAATGATCTTTTCTCTACTTTTGTTGCTCCCAAGTATAAGGCGTAGGTTTATGTGCAACTTACCTGTTTGGGTGACAGAGAACAATCACTACTCCATACTAACCCATGGTGTAATTAAAGCAGACCTAGGAGCATATTTATTCATAAAGCAATGAATGTGACTTTCACCAAACATTCACTGGTGGTGAATCAATTGCTGCAATTTAAAACACATGCACATTTCATGTTAAATGGATACAAATATGTATGTAAGAGAAATCACTTTACTTACAATGACAATGTCTTCATCTTCAAAAACGCCAACGCCATCTTTGTCCATTCATCATCTAGAGTTAGCATGTACTTTTGGGACTAAGATGCGGTTTGTGACCCTAAGATGACACATTCAAGTACGATTTGAACACAGCTCAACTATAGGGATAGTCCCTAACATTGTTAGCTTGCCTCGGGAGTGAAGAATAAGAAAGGGGAGATGATGGGAAAAAAAACGTACACTGAAGATCTCGATCACGTAGATTGCTCCTTTCAGTCCTAGGCACAACCACATTCTTGGAGCTTGAAATTATATACTTTTTTTTTTAAATACTGTACTGTTGCTATATATTAGGATATCAACAATGTATTCATTTAGACTGTTAAAGACTTGTTGGTTGGTCTACTTTATTTGGTCAAAGCATTTGCCAAGCAAATTTTGTTTTTCGTTTAGTTTTGGATAGCATTAGAATTCTTTTTTTGCTATCCAGGGATCAGTTAGAAAAATATCCCCTCATTTTCTGTCCTACTTACAGCGTTTTACTAGACAGGAACTGGGAGGAACCGTCCAACAGCAACACCCAGGGGCGGACTGACCATTTGGAAACTCGGGCACTGCCCGAGGGCCCGGGGTTTGTAGGGGGCTCCATGAGATGCCCCTGGTACCTTTTTCATAGGCTTTTTTGATATTGGGCAAGTACACAGGGGCCCCATGATCCCCTATTGCCCGGGGGCTCCATGAGTTGTCAGTCCGCCCCTGGCAACACCAAAAAGCTTTTATTTAGTAGAGTAGGGGAAGGCTAGAACCTCTGTCTATTTCTTTTATTACTGCCTTTGTCCCTTTATGCAGATTTTCCCTCACTTGTCTGACAAATGTTAAATGTAAATGGTAAATATACTGTAAGTGTTCTCAGCAGGATAGAAAGTAAGAGCAATACAGGGCCCCAGATAGCAGTAAAACCCCAGCCAGAGCCCTAAGTTTTCCCCACTATAAGACAAAGGTTTAGCCTTGACAAACACTTTAAAAAAAATAAGATGTACAGCTGTAAAACATGTTAGTTAAAATTCTCCAATATGCGTTGCCCTATATGTGCTGTGTTGCTGTCTGCTGTTGCTACCCCCTCAGAAAAAACCCTTGGTATAGGGTTAAAATCTTGGTAAAGGTCCCAAATATTCAAGAAACTCAGAGCATCCGTTGCTCTCCATGACGTTTCCAAACTCCTAAAGCCATCAACTGCACCAAGCAGACACATTGGCCTTTTTTAGCCAATGTTTTGACAAATCATATTTTTTTGCGAAAGAAATGAGTGAATGGTCCAGCAGATAAGCTGATATTTGTCGACAAACTTATCAAGACAGGATCTCAATCTTTTTTAGATTGATTCTGTGTTCGTTACCATTTCATTTTTTCAACCATTTTGGCTATAGTGATACAGCAGTAGTAAATGCATTCAACACTTGGCATTAGACTTGAAAGGCAGCAGTAGGATTCCTTTCATCATCTGTGAATCTGCATGTCTGATGGCAGCCTCAGATATCTGTGATGAGATGCATCACTCTTTTAATATGTTTGTTGCTATCAGAATTAAATCCATATGCCAGGGGACATTCATTTACTGCTTATGGTTTGCAATCAGAACAAAACCTTAATCAGTTTCCACCCACCCTTGCATGACTGTGGTATACCACTGGGCTGGATCTTTTTTTCTATACTGCTGCCAGAAACAGGTCTCTGAATCACCCTGTTAGGGCGAGTGTTTTGTAAATCTGTTAATTGACCTAGACTAGTAGTCTGGAAACTCTAGAATTTCCTGGATGGGCAGGTATATCTGAAGATATTTGTGGGCTTCTGTGAACATGTAGGTTGCTTATGCTCTATTATTATTATTATCATTATAATTACTTTGTTAGGTTTGAAATTATTGGCTGTGCATGCTAATGTGCCCTAGTTTCTTTAAAGCTGAACTCTAAGCAAACAGCTATATACAAAAGTAATAGGGAGGATATCTTCCAATGGTGACACTGGTTCTGGTGACCTTGGGGGCCCCAAAGGATTCCTTTATTTGTAGGGTTTTCCTCTCACTCCCTATTTTGGCTGTGGGACAAGAAGTGAAAGTATATCTCCACAATGGGACACGGTTGCTAAAAAAAAAATTGGCAAGGGTTATAACACTCCCTTATTCAGTGCCCGAGTTTCCAAATGGTCAGTCCGCCCCTGCTCCTATGCTTAGAGTACACCACTACCAGGCATGCAGTATTTAGATGCCAGTACCACTGAGTAGAAAAATGGACCAGTAAGTGAAGAACCCACTAGGAAAGAAGTCCTCATGAGAACATGCTGTGACTTAAAACATAATGTTTATTAACACTTTCATGGCAAAATACAAACGGCTGTAGAACCCCCTACCCTACACAATAAAACCATGACAACGTTGCCATACAGTAAAAACACGTGTCCCAGGATCTCAGTCCACACCACATGCAGCCACACAGGCGCCGCACTCTCAACCAGCAAACAAACTAGAACACCATAAGACCCCTAGGATCATGTAGTGTCAGGTGGGAAACATAGGACAACAAGAATAGGATGGAATTCTCACCATCTTGACCACCACGCACCGCACGCTGGACCACCAGGCAGACCCATGACCCCTTGACGATCACACTGCATGCCTCTACACCTTATCAGCAGCAGGAAGAGACCACACCAGATGACAGCGCATGGTTGAGTGAGCGGACTATGTTCCTGTACTTAGGCATCAACACATTGGGGCACTCCCATCTACTGCAGAAGGCCCGGTTGACCCACAGCAACTTGATGTCCTTGGTTTCAACTCTGGCTGAGGGCGGTTCATCACTGCTCTACTCTCCAGCTCACCCACCACTGTCGGTATCTACCTTACATTCACTCTACCTGCTTTGCACCTATACTGGCACCATGGCCATCATTTAATTCTTGAAGACATCACAGTAGACTGTCTTTCATGGGTTATACATGGGTCTGCCACACAATTGTATGGTTTCGCCTAGGATCAAAGGACTGACCTGTATGGTCCTTTGCAACATTATTGACTGCCTCTCCCTGTTATACCAGTGCATTGATCTGGTTGTGTCATTTATACCCTCATTGGGTGCTATTTCATGTTTCATATGAGAGTCACGTATCATGTCTACATTTTCAGCATTATCTCTCATTTGGGAAATTTGAGGACTGCCTACCATACAATATCCGTATCGACCTTACTCACTAATTTCCTTTTGGGGGGCTGATTGAGCATGTTCTACCATTTTCAGTTTGATCCTGCCATTAATCTGTGCAATGTCCTTTTTTGAATTCCATCCTATTCTGGTTGTCCTATGTTTCCCACCTGACACTACATGATCCTAGGGGTCTCCTGGTGTTCTAGTTTGTTTGCTGGTTGAGTGTGCGGCACCTGTGTGGGTGTGTGTGGTGTGGACCTGGATCCTGGGAAAGGTGTTTTACTGTATGGCAACATGTCATAGTTTTATTGTGTAGGGTGGAGGGTTCTACAGTCTTTTGTATTATGCCATGAAAGTGTTAATAAACATTATGTTTTAAGCTGCAGCATGTTCTCATGAGGACTTCTAGTGGGTTCTTCACTTACTGGTCCATTTTTCTACTATATGCTTTGGTCCTGAGAACACCACCCCTGAAGCTGGGTGAGTCGGTATACTTTTTCATATATTTAACTGTATTTACATGTGCTGGGGATCCCATTTTTTGTTTTTTTTTTATGCCAGTACCACTGAGCCTGTACCAGTCTCCATCAGTCCAGCAGTTTTTGTCACCTCTCCCCCAGTGACACATTCCATTGTTGCTATGGGATACAGGAAACTCTTTCTCTCTCTTCCAACCACCACGCTGGCTCTTATTCTGAGGTACCTCATACACATTCTCTTCTGGAACTTCAGGCACTCTGTGCTGTGGGCCCAGTCCCAAAGAGTGGGAACCTGGCTGCTAGTGGAGGTGTCAAGCACTTAACCCCTTCCAAGCATCTTCCTCTAACTCAGGCCACTTGTTGTGTTGCAAGTCCTGTTCTTTTGATACGCTGTGCATGCACCCCTTTGAGAGACTTCAGACCAGGCAATTGCAGTTAATGGTAACTTTACTGAAGAAAGACAAACATACAGGAGCAGTTTTTGTAAAGCAGCTTCTAATTCACATTCTTGTATAGAATTTTAAAAGTGCTCTTTAAGGTAAACATACCTGAATAACAGCAGAGTCCTTAAAGTCCATTAGAAACACAGTCTATCATTGGCAGATATAAGTCCATGAGGGTCCAAGACCCTCACCAGGAACACTGATTGGGCTCCCATCACTCCAAGGGGGTGATCACACCTGCAGAGTAGCAACTACATTGCTCAAAAAAATTAAAGGAACACTTTTTAATCAGAGTATAGCATCAAGTCAGTTAAACTCCTGGTGCCCTGTACTTTTCACAGATGAGAGCATGTTCACCCTGAGCACATGTGACAGACATAAAAGGGTCTGGAGAAGCCATGGAGAATTTTATGCTGCCTGTAACATCATTCAGCAAGACCATTTTGGTGGTGGGCCAGTGATGGTCTGAGAGGCATATCCATGGAGGGAAGCACAGACCTCCACAGGCTAGACAATGCCATTAGGTATCGGGATGAAATCCTTGGACCTATTGTGAGACCCTACGCTGGTGCAGTGGATTTTGGTTTCCTCCTGGTACACGACAATACCCGGCCTCATGTGGCGAGAGTATGCAGGCAGTTCCTGGAGGATGAAGGAATTGATACCATTGAATAGCCCCCACACTTGCCTGACCTAAATCCAATAGAACACCTCTGGGATATCAAGATTCAGTCCATCTGACACTACAAGGTTGCACCTCAGACTGTCCAGAAGCTCAGTGATGCCCTGGTCCAGATCTGGGAGGAAGCACCTCAGGACACCATCCGTCATCTCATTAGGAGCTTGCCCCGACGTTGTCAGGCATGCATACAATCATGTGGGGGCCATACAAACTATTGCAATGAAATTTCAGCAAAATGGACTAGCCTGCTGCATCATTTTTTCACTATGATTTTCAGGGTGTCTTTGAATTCAGTCCTCTGTAGGTTGATAAGTTTAATTTCCATCAAACGATGGGGCATTCTTACATTCCTAACAAAATACCCAGTCCATATCAGTATAGATATCCAACATGATATTTTTCCCCATTGAGATCTGATGTGTTTTCAAAGTGCTCCTTTAATTTTTTTAGAGCAGTGTACATTTTGGCCACAGTTCCCCAGGCAGAGCACACAAGGCATTTCAGTGAGCTCTATTTATGTGGATCTCTGGAAAATTGGCTCGAAAATCTAGCCAATCAATTCCTCAGGTCCCCTACACATCTACATTGTAGCAATTTGCACCTGGCTAGCTCAGTAAATTTGAAGACATGAGCACATACAGGAGAAACAGCACAGCTTAAACCAGATAGCTGCGAAACATAAGTCAGCACGGCAGAAAAATTTTAACCCCATGTAGACACCTGCCTACAAATGCTTAGGTTGCTGGAGGTGCAGCTGAGTGAAGGGAGTGGCTGTAAGGCAGAGCTATATTGCAGACACACATAGCAGACCGATAGAAAGATCTTTGTCCCAACTGTAGTGTCCCCAACGAAGCCAGTTGTGGTTTCCCTGTTCTGTACCTTCTCAACAGGAAACTCTCCCTAGTGCTAAATTTGCTGTCCCTAACCAGCAGGGA